TGTCTCTTTTTAGTTCCGTTAAGAGTTGCTTTACAAATTTTGGTGCTCCTGTGTTGGGTGCGTATATATTTATAAGTGTTATGTCATCTTGGTGGAGTGTCCCTTTTATTATTCATTATATACTGCCCCTCTTTGTCTTTCTTTATCTGTTTTGCTTTGAAGTCTACTTTGTTTGATATTAGTATAGCGACACCTGCTTTCTTTTGTTCATTATAAGCTTGGAGTATTGTCTTCCATCCCTTCACTCTGATTCTGTGTTTGTCTTTGGGGCTGAGGTGTGTTTCCTGGAGGCAGCATATTGTTGGGTCTTGTTCTTTGATCCATCCTGCCACTCTGTGTCTTTTGACTGGAGAGTTCAATCCATTTACATTTAGAGTGATTACTGAAATGTAGGGGCCTACCGCTGCCATTTTATGTCTTGTTTTCTGGTTCTCTTGCATTTCCTTTGTTTCTCGTCCCATGATTTTTGGATTACTAATTCAGGTATGTAAATTTCCATATTGGCTTTCTTCTTATTTGTAATTTGTGTCTTTATTCTTGTTATTTGTTTGGTGGTTACCAGGTGGTTTGTATAAAACATCTCATGGATGAGACAGTCCATTTCCTGACAGCCTCTTATTTCCTTGAATTAAAACGTTCCATCCCTTTTCTCTTCCCCTTCTGGGTTGTCATTGTCAGATTTTTTTTTCTCTTCTTTCTTGCGTTGTGAGTTTGTGGTTAAAACGACAGGGTTATATTTATTCTTGGTGTTTCCCTTCCTTTTATCTTTAATGTTTTATTTAACTTTTGCTAACCTGTTCTGATGGAGAGCTGCTACTTTCTGTTATTGTCCTGCTTATCTCCTTTGCTCTTGGTTTTGTAACCCCTTTCCTTTTTTTGATTTTTCAGGTATGAGGGTTTTCCTGAGCATTTCTTGAAGAGGAGGTTTTGTGGCAATGAACTCCCTTAACTTTTGTTTATCTGGGAAAGTTTTTATTTCTCCATCGTATTTGAAGGACATTTTCGCTGGGTGGAGTATTCTTTGCTGCAGGTTTTTGTCCTTCAGAGTTTTGAATAGATCATTCCACTCTCTTCTAGCCTGTAAGGTTTCTGCAGAGAAACCTGCTGATAGCCTTACGGGGGTTCCTTTGTAGGTTATTTCCTTCTGCCTGGCTGCCCTTAGTATTTTCTCTTTGTCGTTGACTTTTGCTAGCTTCACTACTAAATGCCTTGGGGTTGGTCTTCTTACATTGATAAAGTTTGGAGATCTTCTGGCTTCTGTCACATGAAGTTCCATCTCTCTCCCCAGGTTTGGGAAGTTCTCAGCCATTATTTCTTTGAATAGGCTTTCTGCCCTCTTCTCCTTCTCTTCTCCCTCTGGTATACCTATAATCCTTATGTTGCATCTCCTAATTGAGTCAGATAATTCTCGGAGAGTTTCTTCATTTCTTTTTAGTCTTAGTTCTCTCTCCTCCTCTGCCTGCAGCATTTCTATATTCCTATCCTCCAAATTGCTAATTCTGTCCTCCATATTATCGGCCCTACTGTTCAGAGTCCAGATTTTTCTTAATCTCCTCCATTGTATTCTTCATGTCCAGTATTTCTGTCTGGTTCTTCTTTATAGCATCAAGCTCTTTTGTGACATAGCTCCTGAACTCGTTGAGTTGTCTATCTACATTATCTTTTAACTCATTGAGTTCTTTAATAATGGCTGTTTTGAAGTCATCGTCATTTAGGTTATAGATTTCATTGTCTTTGGGATTGTCTTCTGTGTATTTGTCATTTCCTTCTGTTCTGGAGATTCAATATATTTTTTCATACTGCTTGATGGTATAGATTTGTGCCTCCGCATAGAGACAGAGTTTAGTTACTGCTTCCACTTGTTTCTACTGGTGTGTGGGGGGGAGCAGCTGTTTAGATGGCACTGACCAGGAACCCTGTCAGCTGTTGCTAACTGGACCCAGGCCCCTCCTCATAGTCACAGTGGTCCTGTGGGGTCCCTCATCAGCTGTGGGGGCAGTTGCAAGGGAGCTTCAGGCTGCTGGTGCCTACTGTTGCAGACCACCTAGACGTGCTCCCTGCTTAGGGTCTGCAGCGGTGTTATGGGCTTTCCCAGCAGCTGGGAGCAGCATCACCTATATTTGCAGCTCTGTCACTGTCAGAGCCCACAAAATCTCACTTGTCCACTATAGGTCACAGCAGAGCTATGGGTATCTTCTGCAGTCTGTGGTTAGCTCACCTAGCTATGCTACTTTTGCCCCAGGGCCTTCCAGCCTTGTGATTGCTAGGTGGGGGCCTCTCTACTAGTGCTGTGCAGAGGCTATCGCTGAGGCTGCTGTGAGACTGTAGAGTTTCCCCCTGGGCTGTGGAGCCGGGCCACTGGAACTCCACCCAGCCCCAGACCACTCCCATGGATCTCCGGGAGCCCCTTGCCCCATCTGGGGGACAGCCAGAGTCCATGAGTCTGGCAACAGCTGTGGGCTGCTGCCCTGCCTGGGGTCCTCCTCTTCGGGACCCTCCCGGCATTCTGAATGCTGGGTGGTGCCTCTCCGCTAATGGCGAGTAGAGGCTTTCCCTGCTGCTGGTACAGAACCCTGGAGTTTCCCCCGGGCCATGGAACCGGGATGCTGGAACTCCACCCAGCCCCAGCCCTCCCCCCCAGGATCTCCGGGAGCCCCTTGTCCCGTCTGGGAGACAGCCAGAGTCCATGAGTCCGGTGGCGGCTGGCTGGCTCCTGCCCTGCCCGGGATTCTCCTCTTCGAGACCCTCCTGGCATTCTGAATGCTGGGTGGGACCTCTCCGCTAATGGTGAGTAGAGGCTTTCCCTGCCACCAGTGCAGGACCCTGGAGTTTCCCCCTGGGCCGTGGAGCCGGGCCGCTGGAAGTCCACGCAGCCCCAGTCCTCTCCCCTGGGATCTCTGGGAGCCCCTTGTCCTGTCTGGGAGACAGCCGGAGTCCGTGAGTCCGGTGGCAGCTGGCTGGCTGCTGCCCTGCTCAGGATTCTCCTCTTCGGGACCCTCCCGGCATTCTGAATGCTGGGCGGGGCCTCTCCGCTAATGGCCAGTAGAGGCTTTCCCTGCCACTGGTGTGGGACCCTGCAGTTTCCCCCTGGGCTTAGGTGTAATTGCGGGGGGGGCTTAGGTAGGGCTGTAGTCACCTGTTTCCACTGTTGCTCCTCTGGTGTGCGCACACTCCTGGCCTTGGTGCGTGGCGATGCTATGGGGGAGTCCGCTGGAAGAAAGCCACTTGCAGGTACTAGGCTGCTCGGGGGTCAGGGGTCGGAGAGTTTTCACCTATCTCCACCTCCTCCCGGGGGGAAGTCGTTCACCTTCCAATGTATAGCAGCACGGGTCTCTCAGGCATCCTGAGATGCTATACAGATATCCTTGGTTAAGCGATGAAGGTCCAATTAGTTGTAGATTCGAAGGGGGAGAGGCAAAGAAGACTACTCACTCCGCCATCTGGGTGACATCACCTCTAGTTTCCATTTTTTTGATTACAGCCATCATACTGGGTATGAAGTGGTATCTCATTGTGATTGTTTTTCATTTGTATTATCTTTTTTGGAGAAACGTCTATTCATGTCCTTTGCTCATTTTTAATTGTGTTGTCTTTTTGTTGAATTATAAGATGTATATTCTGGATACTAGATCCTTATCAGATACATGATTTGCAAATAATTTCTACCATAGTCCTAAAGTTTTATACTAAGTTTTCAATTTTTTTTAAAGCACAACTCTTTTTTTCAACTATATCTTTGTTTTGTATTTTTATGTATGGAACTCCAATCTAATATTTAAAAGAAATAAAAATGGAGCTATTCCCAAAGAAGTGGAGAAAGCTGAAACCCAGATCACTTGGCGTCTCTCTGTAGCAAATCCCAGACCACTTGCACAAAGCAAATGCAACACAAACAAAATATGTGTTTTCCATTGCACTGAATCATTCTGCACAAATTTTGATCTGTCCACAACACAGAATACAATCTAAAAGACAATGTCCTACACCATAAAGTCTTGGTCATTCTGTTAAAATATTTGAGAACTGTAAGGTATGTGTACCAGGAAGGACTACTAATGTCCACTTGCCTCAAATCGCTATCAGACCTACCAACAGTACAGAAGTACTTTGAATATACCCACCTCTTTGCCATTTAAAAATAAAATCCGAAATAAAGATCTTGAAGCAAACATCAAATTGTCACAAACAGCAGCAGAGATCCAAGTATTTAGTGAGAGTCCACTATATAATTCTAAATATCATTTAGAGAAAAATAATGCAGGATAAACAACAACTTTAAAAAGCACACGTTTACAGGTAGAGTGAGTATAACTTGTACTGAGCTATGCCACACATCCAATGACAGTGATTTACCAGGAGATGATGTTTAGGATTGGTTGCCACATATGGCTTCAGAAAACAAAGGTTATCTGGCCTACAAAACTTTAGTCACTACACAAATATACAGAAATCAACTAAATTAACTGTTCCACACATATAGGAAAAATAATCCCTTCAATAATAAATGAGGACTTAAAAAAACCTCATATGGGGCTGGTCCCATGGCACAGTGGTTAGCTTGGTATGCTCTGTTTTGGTGCCCCAGGTTCAGACCCCAGGTGCAGACCTACACCACTGTCAGCCATGCTGTGGCGCCGTCCCACATATAAAGTGGAGGAAAAGTGGCACAGATGTTAGCTCAGGGCTTATCTTCTTCAGAAAAAAAACAAAGAAACAAAAAAACACCCTCATATATACTTAAAATAAAACAAAAGCTCAAACAAATAAAAAGCCCAAACTAAACTAAATTTCCAGAACTTTAAGTGTGTACTGCTAGCAATGGTATGGCATCCACAAGATCCAAGAGACTTTCAAAGTAAACTTGGTCACTGTTAATAGTGACAGAACTATTTTGCTTATCCATTTCTCATACTATAATCTAATTTCTATGTCTGAAAATACTTTAAACTCATGGCTAAAACAGTATTTCCTTAAAAACAACTTTGTGGAAATGTTTTTACCTCTTCTTCCTCAATTTCAGGGGTGTTAAGCTCATGTTTTTGACAGTAAGGACCCTCCTTCCAAGCTTCAGTGTCACCACAGTCACAGAAACCTCCACCTCCTGATGTTGTCATCTTGAAAAAAAATTGTAAAGTATCTTGTCAATAAGTATTTACTGAGGGCTATCAGATTATACATAAGAATATCAAGTGCTAAGGGAATAACATTGCTAAGGCGTTTAATTCCTTTGGAGGGATAAAATTAAATAAAATGTCAAACCTCTCAATGTTTTAAAGCTTTTTTGTAAATAAGCCTATAGGCTAATTTAAGTGATTTCAAAATAAAATACGCTGCTTTGTAGTGTCTAGTAAACTACAGATATTTTAAAGAGGTAAAATCTGTCTACCTACACGGCTTCCTTAATTAGGAAAATCACAAGGGTTTTCCTGCTGGGTTTTGGCTAAATCGGTGTAATGTTGGTATCTATGCTACAGGTCTCGTGCTGATCTAACAGGTTCAGCAGTTATAAATATCCTACAGCTGCTGTGCCCTGAAGAGCCTCCTAAGAGTGCTGCATCTGCATGAGAGAAAGGGCCAGGAAAACGACAGGAACAGTCTATGTTTCTTTTCTAACACTCCCTAAACAGCATTCTCTGAAGAGGAAGGAAGCTCAGGAAATACAAAAGTGGAATGTACGGTCATAACAACTTTTCACCACCTGCAGGGTTCAAGAATTACTCAGACTTCCTTAAGATATGGCAATGATTCAAGGAATCTAGCAAGACAGAACCTATCATTTAATAATTGGTAGGCTGAAAATTCTGCTTTTTAAAAATACTCGTGTGATAGAGTTTAGCAATGGGTATTAGAGGCAAATTTTAGAATGAGCCCTACTATATTTTGCCCAAAGAAAAGTATTTGTGTGTTACATATGACAATATCATTAATGTAAACCCACAAATGACTGTCTTTACCAGGGGCTGCAAAGATATTTGCCAAGAAACACGGGCAGGCAGCCTACAGCTTTTATGCTTGTTCTGGTTGCAAAAGATAGGTAGATCAGCTCAAAGGAAACTGGGACTTTCTTATTGATTTATGAAAATAAAGAGAACATATAAAAACACCCGGAGTCCAATTTTGTAGCTGTTTTAGTTCATTATTATCAATACTTGGGGAGAGTGAATAAAAACAGGTGGAACTTCCTGAACCAAGAGGGCTCCTGAATTAATAACGAGAATTAATAACAAGAAGGAATAACAATATTCCTTCTCCACCATTTTATTGGAAATAGGGCAAAAAGTTCTAGCTAGTAACAGTTCCCGAATTTCTGAATGTTCAATTTCCAGTGGAGGAACCAGGACAGGCTAAGCAATAATCTGCCTTTGCCTGTATCCCTGACTTCAGAGCAAACACACCTGATTTTTGGAAAGTGCGGACTGCATTAAAGCAGGAAAAACAATAAAATTGGTAGGTCTCAGGTTCTGCACCAGGCCCTCTTCTACACTGCAGTAAATGCGTCTTAAATATCAAGAAATGACAAATCTTCCGTAGAAGGTGAGCAAGTGACAGAACATTTCTTAACTGTATAATCCTGTCACTTTCCTCACTCATTTTCTCACATACCCTCCCTCACAGTTTTAACTCTCACCTTTATCTTCTAATTTTTTATAACCCTCTTCATAAGCCTAGAATTATGAAGATAATAAACATGAAAAAAATGGCAAAACTAACTAGTTGAAAACCAATATAGAAGAGCTGATATCTGTGTTGCCTTTCTTAAACCACATGTTCCAAGAAGTTTGGATTCATAATTCATTTCTATACTGCCATCATAGGTTTAATGGTGTTTAAGTAACATATTTCTTAAACCACTCCCCCCCGTACTAGTGCTAAATCTTGGAATTTTAAAAAGGCAGAAAAGTATCTAGTATAAAATTCAATATTTGGTATAGTTATCATCGGGACATTACTAACCCTATATCGATGGTCTCTGTGAATACTTCCCAAAAAGCAATCCATGCATAAAACACAAGTTGGATCAACTGCACAGTCTCTGTAAAGTTAAAGAAAAAAAAAATCAGAGTGTCATAAAATAACTATATATTTCACAACATAATATTTCAAATTGGAATCCATCCTAGAAGAGCTAGAATAGTGCAGTGCCTTGGTGTTAGAAAGAAGGAACTATTATTCCCAAAGCTCTGTGGAGTCTTTGATCAATGAAGTCAGCTTAGGAAGCTGTTTCTCATACTGGATGTGTGCTTGGCTGTCTCTGAAGGAATATTATTACTAGAATGGTAATACTCCCCAAAGGTTTGGGGATTTGATATTTTAGCAATATTTATATTTTATAAAAATATTTAATATAGATTTCATATTAAAACACACAGATATATATGGAATAGATTTAAAATTTTATGAGGGGCCAGCCTGGTGGTGTAGTGGTTAAGCGCGCATGCTCTGCGATTCTGCAACCCACAAACAAAACAGAGGAAGACGAAACAGATGTTAGCTCAGGCCCAATCTTTCTCACCAAAAACAAGAAAAAGAAAGAATTCTTAAGATATATCTGAGATTTCAAATAACTTCCTCCAAACAGGTGTTTCAGACCAAGGGTCTTCAAAGTGGTATGTACGTATGCACCCCCCAGAAAGGCAAGACATCTAACTAGGACACAAACAGACATTAGAACTTACATTTCTATTTGAATTTTAACTAATTTAAAAGGGAAATTAAACATTCTAAGTGTTCACTATATAGATCAACATGGGTCTCCTCACTTGGTCTGTATGCCCGATGGTCATACAACACATATGGTTCATAAGATATTCTGATGGGAGGGTAAGAGTTCCACTAGGTGGATGGGTTGACTGTGCTGCCCTCAGTTGTTTCATCTGCATTCATCAAATTGCCAATTAGATACATTTATAGATATATCTTAAATAAAAGAATCTTTACAATTCCATGAAACGAGACAGAGAGTCATGAAAATGTTTAAATTTCCCCTTATCCTCATTCCTGTTTCCTCAGAGGCAACCACTCTGTGGTGCTTACTGTGTGCCCTTTTATTTTATATATTCTTGCAAAATGTTTTTGAGTGCCTGTATTTTTAACGTATGCAAATTTTACTGTTATATAACTTATCCTGTTCTTTACGTTTTCAATTTGGTAACATGATCCATTCATTTTGTATGGGTACATCTGATTTGTTGCTTCTAATTGCTACATAACATGCCACGATGTGTATTCAAAACATTTTCTCTCTCTACTATCCCTCTGCTAGACACGTGGATTACCTCCAAGACCATTCTACCACAAATAATGCTGCAATGAACATCCCTGCAAATGTCTGCTTATGGATCTATCTGAGACTTTCTCTGGCAATATAAACGCAAGAGCAGAACCGTTGAGTCATGTATACGTAAAGTTCTTATTCTACTGTCCAGAGTGGCTACATAGTGCCCACCAGTGTGTAAGGGTTTTTATAGTCCTGCATCTTCATCAGCAATTGGTTTTATCTAGTTTTCCAATATGTGCCAGCTTAACATATATGAAACAATATCTTGTTGTTTTAATTTGCATTTCCCTGATAGCTAATATGTTTGAGCAACTCTTCATATGCTTATTGCTTTTGGGGTTTCCTTTTCTATAAATTTCCTGTTTATACCTTTGCCCATTTTTCTGCTGGCATTGCTTTCTTTATCTTGTTCATTTGCAGGAGTTCCCTGTATAACCTAGTCTAGATGTTATTAATCACCTGGAAATATTAAACATTGCAAACATTGTCTCCCATTTGTCATTTGTGTATTAATTTTGCCCATGGGGTCCTTCGTTGAATAAAACTCTCTATTTTGATGCAATTAAGTTTATATGCACACACACACACACACACACACACACACACACACACATAAATGGTTTGTGCTTTCAGGTTTCAAGAACTTCTTTCCCCAATCCCACAAAAATATTTTTCATTTTCTTCTATTAAACTTTTGGTTTTATCTTCCTCATTTAGGTGTTTAATTCATCTGGTGTCTACCTTTGTTTATGATGTACAAGAGATACAGTTTTTTTTCTCCATTTATAACAAGCTACTTTCTTTTCCCAACATCTACTAAACAATCTAACTTTTACCTATCACTGTGGTGTCTCTTTTCTAATATATTAGTCCCCACATATCGTTGGGTCTCTATCCCAGCTCTCCAATGCGTGTGAGTGATCTGTTCATTCTTATACCATAGCACACTTTATTAGGATGGCTTTGTGGTATGTTTTAATATCTGGTAGGCTAAGTGCCCCTTTATTCTCCTTTTTAAGGTTGACTTAGCTATTCACGAACTCTTATACTTCCACACATCATTTAGGATGAGTTTAAAGAGTTCCTCAAAAATAGCCAGCTAGGGGACAGCCTGGTGGCGTAGTGGTTAAGTTCCCACGTACTGCTTTGGTAGCCTGGGGTTTGCTGATTCAGACCCTGGGCATGGACCTGGCACTGCTCATCAAGCCATGCTGTGACAGCATCCCACATAGAAGAACTAGAATGACTTGCGACTAGGATATACAACCATGTACTGGGGCTTTGGGGAGGGGAAAAAAAAGAGGGAGATTGCTAACAGATGTTAGCGCAGGGCCAAGCTTCCTCACCAGAAAAAAAAGAAAAAAAAAAAAGTAGACCTTTAAAAAAATCCAGCTAAAAATTTAACAGAGATTACTTGGAATTTATTGATAAACTTCAGGAGTAATAACATCCTTATAAGAGTAAATTATCATGTCCATGATTATTTCCTATGTCTTTTATGGAAGTTTTAAAGTTTTCTTCCTAAGTCTTTTGTATTCTTGATTAGATTAATATCTAGGTACCTTCCAGGTGTTTTTTTTTTTTTTGAGGAAGATTAGCCCTGAGCTAACTACTGCCAGTCCTCCTCTCTTTGCTGAGGAAGCCTGGCCCTGAGCTAACATCCGTGCCCATCTTCCTCTACTTTATATGTGGGATGCCCACCACAGCATGGCTTTTGCTAAGCGCTGCCATGTTCGCACCCGGGATCTGAACCGGTGAACCCCGGGCCGCCGAGAAGTGGAACGTGTGAACTTAACCGCTGTACCACCGGGCCAGCCCCTCCAGGTTTTGTTTTAATGACACTTTTTTTTTTTTAAACTTCATTTTCTAATTGGTTAAGGATGATGAAAAGAAACTATTGATTTTTAGTACTCTTGATGAACTCAAGGTCATTCTAACAGTTGATTCTGTTGTGCTTTTTTCCCAAGGTAAATGAGTACACAGTCTGTACATAATAACAATTTTATCTTTTTCCTTACAATATTTACACATTTACTTATTGTTCTTCCTTTATACTGTTGACAAGGACCTTCAGTAATATGTTAAATAGTAGCAGTCACAGTAGGCATCTTTGTCTTGCTTTAGATATTAAAGTAAACATACCTAGAGGTTCTCCATTAAATATTATGTTCACTGTAGGTTTACTAGGAAAGTGCCTTTCTAGAAAGAACCAAGCATTTATCTTGCCTTTCCTATACAAATTACACCTCAGAGTAATCAAAGGATTGATGAGAAACTGTGTTTCTTTTATAAAAGAAGACTAGCTAATAAACAAAGAAGAAATGATAGGTTAGAATATCATCGTTTCGCTACCCCCAATGAAATAATGATGTAGGCAACAAGCATCAGTGACCACTAAAACATTAGGTAAAAAGGCTAATGGAGACCTTTGTAATGGTTGCATCTGCCAGGTACCTAAACCCACTGATCAACCTTAACAAAACAAAAGCACCCAAGCATCATGTGCCTCTTGATACAAAGAACTAAGAAGCTACACATCAGTAATTATGAAGTTATGACTCCCCTCCCCCCACATCACATAACAGAATTGAGTCAAGCCTAACTACCTGTTTAGAGGAAACACACGGAATAAAGAAACATGTGAAGCCACACCATGAAGACACAATCAGCCAAATCTAGAATGTGGGAAATTCCATAGGACAAATGACATGGTTTCTTAGTAACATAAGTGGACAAAAGAAGAAAAGAAAGAGGGAGAGGAGCTATGACAGATCAAAAGAAAAAATGAGGAATAATAGCCAAATGCAATCTGTAAACTTTGAATCCACACTGATGAGTCAATCTGGACAATTTCAACTCTGGCTAGATATTAGATATTAAGGAATTAGTGTTAATTTTTTAGGATGTTACTGGTTGTAGAGGAAAAAGCTAAATACCAACTATTGATAAATGGCATACTGTCTGAAATTTGCTCCAAAATAATCTGGCAGGGCAGGAAAAAAGTGTGTTTATGTGTGTGTGTGCACATGCGTGCAGAGATTTAAAAGAGTTGACACATACTGGTAACTGCCGAAGCTGAGCAATGAGTACATGTCAGGTCTATTATACCACTCACCCTACTTTGACGATGTTTGAAAATGTCCCTAAAAAAAAGTTTCTAAAACTCCAATAGATACTCAATAAAATTTGTCTGCTAATTTATATCATAAACTACGGAAATTTATAAAATGCTTTTCTGAATCAAATGAGAAAACCATATTTTTCTTCTGTCAACTATTAAAATAGTGAATTATATTATTAATTGTTTTAAAGATGAACTATCCTTGGATTCCTGAACTAAACTCCATTTGATCACGATGCATCACTTTTTTAGTATATTCTTAACTCAGATAGCTAATATTTTATTTAGGATCCTTTCATCTACATTAATAAGGGGAAATGGCTTTATAATGTCTCCTCTTGAAATTCATCAGGGTTTGAAATCAAGATTATACCAGCCTCATAAAAAGCTAGGAAGTTTTCACTCTTTTCCCCTTTTCTGTAGTGACTGCTGTAAGAAAGGAATTAATTCCTTTAAAATTCCGTAGAACTCACCTCTCCAGTCATTCAGGTATGGGAGGTTTTTGGGAGGGAAGTTCTCTCATTACCACTCCAAGATTTTTCATACTGTATTCAAGTTGCTTATCATTTTTCTACAAATTTACCCATTTCATGTAAGTTTTCACATTTTTTAGGATTTATTTGTTCATAATTGT